TGACACTAGCGCTTCAAAGCATTTCTGCGCAAGGAAGGAGTTTTTCACCGAATTCGAGGATGGGAACGAAGGTGAACGTGTGTACATGGGGAACTCTAGCAGCTCTGAAGTGCTTGGTAAAGGCAAGGTTTTACTCAAGCTGACCTCTGGTAAAACTCTGGCTTTAAATAATGTTCTGTATGTACCTGCCTTGCGTAGAAATTTGATAAGTGGTGGGCTTCTGAATAAGGCAGGCATTAAGTTAGTTTTTTAGGCAGATAAACTTGTACTTTCCCGAAATGGTGATTATATTGGGAAAGGGTTTTTAAGCAATGGTTTATTTGTCATAGAAACTCAATTTAATGAAAATAAAGCTACCACTTCTGCTTATATTGTTGAATCCATTGATATGTGGCATGCTAGATTAGGACACGTGAATATTCATGCTTTAAAGAAAATGATAAATATGAATGTTCTGCCTAAAATAGACACAACTAGCTTTAACAAATATGAAATTTGTGTAGAAGCTAAGCATACTAGACCTCACTTTAAGATTGTTTCTAATAGAAAGACTGAGCTGTTAGAACTTATTCATACTGATCTAGCAGATTTTAGAAACACTGAAAGTAAAGGAGAAAAACACTACTACATAACTTTTGTAGATGATTATTCAAGATATACAAAAGTTTATCTCCTAAGGACTAAAGATGAAGCTGAAAACTTCTTTCTTATTTATAAGGCAGAAGTTGAAAATCAGTTAGATAGGAGAATCAAACGGGTTAGATCTGATAGAGGTGGTGAATATGGATCTAATTTCTTAAAAGATATTTGTGAAAACAATGGCATAATTCATGAAACTTCAACCCCCTATTTTCCTCAACAGAATGGTATAGCCGAAAGGAAAAATATAACTTTAAAAGAGATGATGAATTCTTTACTAATAAGTTTAGGGTTATCTGATAACATATGGGGGGAAGCCATTCTATCGTCAACTCATATCTTGAACCGAGTTCCTCATAAGAAATTAGATTCTACCCCATATGAATTGTGGAAAGGATACACTCCTAATTTACAATATCTGAAAGTGTGGGGTGTATGGCTAAAGTGGGTTTGCCAGACTTTAAGAAGCCCACCATTGGACCTAAAACCGTTGATGCAGTGTTTATAAGGTATGCTACGAATAGTGTTGCATACAGATTCATGTTTTTACAAGATTATTCTATTTGTGAGTCAAGAGATGTTGTTTTCATTGAAAATACCTTTCCTTTAAAGGAACCAAGATTAAATGTCGAAACACAAATAGAATATATTCCATCAACTTCTTCTAGTAATCTTGCTAGGTCTTCTGAACAAATTGATTTTGAGCCTAGAAGAAGTAAAAGGCAAAGAGTTGAAACCTCTTTTGGACCAGACTTTATTACTTCCTTTATTTTTGAGATAAATGATTTAGACTCCATTTCAGATCCTATAGCTCAAATTTTTCTGTTAGATGAGGATCCTAAAACTTTTGAAGAAGCTATAAGATCTATCGATGCTAGTTTTTGGGAAAGCGCTGTTAATGATGAACTAGAATCGATAATGTCTAATCATACTTGGGAATTAGTTGACTTGCCTAAGGGATTCAAACCAATCTCCAACAAATGGGTCTTCCGGAAGAAACTAAGGCCAGATGGTTCGATTCAGCGGTACAAGGCAAGGTTAGTCGTCAAAGGGTTTACTCAAAGGTTTGGTTTAGACTACTTTGATACATACTCTCCCGTTACGAAAATCTCAACGATTCGTGCATTATTTGCGCTAGCCTCTATTCATAAGTTACAGGTACATCAAATGGATGTTAAGACTGCTTTCTTGAATGGGGATCTAGATGAGGAGATTTACATGGAGCAACCACTAGGTTTTGAAGCACCTGGTATGGAAGGGAAAGTCTGTAGACTTAAAAAGTCACTTTATGGACTTAAGCAGGCTCCTAAACAGTGGTATGAGAAATTCCATAAAACTATTCTTAGTTTTGGTTTTGTTGTGAATGGTTCAGATGCTTGTGTGTATTCGAAGATGTTTGACACTGAATGTGTCATCATAAGCCTGTATGTTGATGACATGTTGATTTTCAGTTCTAACATCGAGTCCATTAACAAAGTTAAGAGTTTCTTATCCACTAAGTTTGAGATGACATATTTGGGAGAAGTTGATGTAATCTTAGGAGTCAGAGTTACCAAAACTGAAAAGGGATTTTCTTTAAGTCAAGCACATTATATAGAGAAAGTGCTAAAGAAATTTGACAGTTTTGATGTCGTCCCTGTTCGAACTCCTTATGACTCTAGCATACATCTTGTTAAGAATAAAGGAAGTAGCGTTTCCCAAACTGAATATGTTAAATTAATCGGAAGCTTAATGTTCTTAATGAACTATACTCGGCCTGATATTGCTTATGCTGTGAGTAGACTGAGTAGATATACTCATAATCCGAGTGGTGAACACTGTATTGCTCTTAAATGCTTACTGAAGTATCTTAAGGGTACTTTGGATTGGAAACTTGAGTTCGTTGGCTTTCCTGCGGTACTGGAAGGATATTGTGATGCCAACTGGGTTTCTGATAATGATGAGGTAAGCTCTACGAGTGGGTATGTTTTTACTTTGGGTGGAGCAGCAATCTCGTGGAAATAATCAAAGCAGACTTGTATTGCTCGTTCTACCATGGAGTCAGAGTTTATAGCTCTTGACCTAGCTGGGCAAGAAGCCGAGTGGCTCAGAAGCGTGTTAGCAGATATTCCGTTGTGGGGAAGATCGACTCCTCTGGTTTCATTATTGTGTGATTCACAAGCTGCGATATGTGTGGCTAAGAACCAAGCTTACAATGGTAAGAAAAGACACATTCGCATAAGACATGAATCTGTTAGACACTTAATAAAGAATGGAGTGCTCTCTTTAGAGTATGTGAAGTCGGAAAGGAACCTAGCAGATCCACTTACCAAAGGGTTAAGTCGGAAGCTGGTCCTAGATTCGTCGAGGGGGATGGGTCTAAAGCCCATTGGTTGAGGAATTCATGGTGGATACCCAACTTAGTTATCTAAGTTCCATGTGGTCAAACGAAACCATGAAAAGACTCATAGTGCACATTCCTACTGCCTATCCCTATGACGAATAATGTGCATGCCCAGGATGAGCTTAAGTGCTCTTAATAAATTCATAGCCCAGGCTTTGGGTGGTCTTAGTGAGAAAGACTTGATGAATTTACCGATTTTGGCTGAATATCTATTCTTAATAAGTTCATAACCCAGAGTGAGTGGTATGAAATGATGAACTTACCAACAGAAAGGTTGAGTTTGTTAAACTCTTAATAAATTCAAATCCAAGTATTTGGATGGTTCTAGTGAGAATGACTTATTGAATTTACCTATAAATGATGTTGAATATTTATTCTTAATGACTTCTTAGCCCAGAGTTTGGGTGGTTCATTTATAATGAACTTGAAGAAAGTCATTATACCCTTTGTGAGGTTGAGCTATTATAAAAGCTCTTAATTATTTCATATCCCTTTTAAGGGTGGTTTATGTTGAGATAAACTTGATGAAATAACCTATGTAAGTGAGAAGGGTTAGCCACCTTCTATGAAAAATGTTGGGCCATTTTTCTAGCACACTTACTAGAATCCTGAGGTAAGATGGCCAAATATATACTTTTGTATATATATATCTTACACATCGAGGACTCAGGTGGATGAATGGGTTAGTTGTGTGTTATGAGTTTACCCCCATCTTAGAAAGTTCCAGACTAGTTTCACTTATCTAAGAGAATGATTGCTCATCATCACTATGTACTAGTTCCAGATACGTTCACTAGTGCTTAAGCAACTAATCTCGCTATTGCTCTTCTGGAAAGTTTGTTTTCGAGTTTCAAAAGAATTCTTTCGCATTAGTGGGGGAATGTTGGTAATGCTCAATCTCACGTAGTATTGGAAACACTATTGGGAATGGGTATTTATAGTATGGAATTCCCACTTCCTTGTTGAGTGAAAGAGAAAAAGGGGGACTCTCGCGCACCGCCGCCGCCATCCGTCTCATCTCGGCTCGGCACGGCACGGCATGACTCGTGGTCGTGGTCGTGGTAATACGTTTCTTCGACACGTCCGCGCGGATACTATCTTTTTAGAGTAAATTCTTGAGGAATTTCTCTTTAAAAGAAACAAATGGAAAAATGTGAAAGATTTCAACTGATATTTATAGGCTGCTGAGGACTGTTTAATTTCAAATGATATAACAGCTGGTTTATGAGAGTTATCAGAAATTAAACAGCTTTTCCTAAATTAAATCAAAAACGTTAAAGATGTATCTGGACTGATTTCCAGCTTTGTACAGAGGAGACAAGTTGTTAATATCATGAGTTACAGGAGTTATTTGATTTAATTCCATGTGTTACATGATATAATTTCTGGAGTTATAACAGCTGAACAATGATGCAATGAACCTGGACTATTTTTGAGTCAAGTTCATCTAGATGTTTCAGCTGTTACAAAAGAAGAGATTTAATCCTGAAATTTTATGGACGATTTTAACCCTATTTCTAGCCTATAAATAGAGGGTTATATTCGGCTTCTCAACTCTCTCTCAACATTCACAATTCACTTTCAAAGTGTTTTCTGCAATTATTCTTTCCGTGCTTTCCGATAAGAAGAGCAATACCACTGGCAGTCCACTCCGATTTCGGGTGTACGGAATTCGGAGCGACCGTGTTAACCTCGGGGGACGGTCCGCCTACTGCAGCGATTACACACATCGGGGCGAATTCGTTTCTAAGGCAGTGGTTATACCACGACACGGTTTACGAATCTGTTCCTTTTAATTACTGTTTATATTTTCAATCAGTGCTAACGGTGTAATTTTGCGGTTCATATATCCAACACCTTTCTTTGTATATGTGGAGATCCTCCTACTGAGTTCTCCAGATACAGAGATGCGGAGAAGGTACAACAAAAAGATAAAGCTTGCATGAACCGCACGAGCAGATAGGGAATATATTAATTAATGTGTTTAAACTATTTATTGTTTCTTGTCCAAAAGTCAAAAAGAGGCTTTTGCTGATGTTTCTCCATTAATTTAGCGGAATATCACTAATCATGGCACAATCTAAGCAAACTATTACAATGGGGGACTTATAATGTTTTTGCATTAATCCAATAAAATGGAAGACAGACAAACATTTCAAACTGTACATACAAAGAAACGAAAAAGCAAAATATAGGACATCGAATTTCTTTCTTTCTTTTTGTTGTAATCAACGCCTGCAATGGAAATGAACACCATTGAACCCATCAACATGTTGAAGATGCAGTCCTCTCATAGGGCACCATTGGAAATTGGTGCACCCCTCTTGGTGTCCATATGAGTAGTTTCATACACAGGCAACTCGAACAGGTCGGAGCTTGAATCACTATCTGCACCATCGTCGGTCTCGGTCTCGTTGAACTTCCCGATTTCTTTCTCATCCGACGGATACTGATCCCGATGACGAGTACTCTCCGAGTAGTCATTATTGAACTTCAATTTCTCATCCAACCAAGAGTATTCTGTTGTATTTGTATTCCATTTGTCATCAATGATAGCGTTTTGTAAAGCTGTTGGTTTTGTCAGTCCAATGTTGTTACTTGACAGAGAAGAAACCTGTTTGTGATCCAAATGGTTTCTAAATTCCTTGTAGCTCTTAGTAGGAGTGTGTCCATAGGAAGGTGTCCTGAAACTGGAGCTCGAGGACGAATAAAACGACTTTGTATCGGTCGTACTCGAGCTCCGAAAATGGCTGATACTGCTCCTCCTCCTCCCACTAGGGCAGTCTTCTTCATCTTTGATGGACTGTGTGGTGGATTTCGATTTCTTCTTCTTTGAACCTGTTTGATTGAAAAGAGAGTTCAAGAAGCTAGCAAGTCTTCCACCCGGAGAGTTGGGTTGCTTGTATTTCTTATCCTTTATTTTCTTATCCACCACATGAGATTGTTGAGGAAGAATGTTCCTCATGGTCATTGGTACATCCAAGCTGACCCTTCCCATCATATTCTGAGAGAATGTTGCACAATTATAGCTAGCCACGTCGTTGTACCCCGAGAAATACCGCGCAGCTTCGAAGACATCGAGCTCACCGGAGTTGTTCCTTCGATGGAACGACTTCTTCAACATCCTATCAGGGTCCGAGACTCCTGTTATAGACATGATATGCTTCTTCAATTGGGTTTATTGTGATGAAAGTGGTGAGATTGTAAGGAGAGGGAAGGGGTAGCTTTAAAATATATTGGCAATGAGAATCAATTGGAGTGCCTAATAATATAATATGATGAAGAGTGATTTTTGGGGGGTTTTGAATGAGACCCCACTTTTGATATGAATTTTGTGCTTTAGTTTTAATGGCAGTGAAGTGTGGTAAGAAGGGAAACAAGCCCTTTTTTTCCTTTTACCTTTATCAAACTGTGAAAACACCAGAGGTAGTGTTGTGGATAGTGGTGGGGGTGTTTACTTGGATTCTAGGGATTGCACTCTTGTTTTAGTGGGAGCTGGCTTTTTTGAGTTGCTATTGGCCTAATAACATTGTTGAAAGGAATAAAACAAACTTCATACATGAACCATAAAGAAATAATGAAGAAAAAAAAATCTCTTTCTCTTGCTGTTGGGGGCAAATGGCTGCATCCTGCATGAGTGTGGGCTGTATATGTAAAGCCAATACACACGTACAAAACACCACCAATGGCTTTTCATGCTCAGTTTTTTTCTTTCCATGGATCAACATAGAAGATCCACCGTAGGCCAAGTGTTTGAGTTTGATGAGTAGACAGTTGCGGCCGCAAAAATTTATATTAGGAGTGTGAATATAAAAGGTTATATTAAAAATTTAAGAGGTGTCAAGTTATAAAATTTCAGGGGTATGAAATTAGATCATCAATAGAAAATACTTGAATTATATACAGATTTGAAATTTTCATAGAGTGCAATCACATCCCAGTACTCCTCTATCCATCCTCGGTCGCGTTCGGCATTCTCCTGTCAATTTTTGGCTACGAAATCAATGCTGTTTTTAACACCCAGTGGTCCTTTTGGTTCCTAGAGCCGAACAAGATTGCAGCAAAATCAACCTTTGGGGCTGATAGTTAAAGCATACTCTTCACTGTCATTGTCCAGAGCAAATCGCCTGACGATCTTTGATCGGAACTTGTGAGGGAAAACCATGATTTTCTTGAGCAATACATGGTTGAGATTTTACTTAAGATTGGTAAGAAACAAAAACATATTAAAGCTGAAAATTTTCAATAAACTATTGACTTATAAGGCGAGAATGTGGGGGTACCTAAGTCTAGGATGGTCCATGATTGAAATGAAATTCAAGCCATAAATAGTATAGATTGAAAGAGAAAAGCTTATTTGATTAGGCTACTAACTAATTATCTAAAAAGTTTATATATATACTATTTTATTAGTTTAGTCATTTTAATCCTTAAATTTTCATTATGTTCCCTCTAACTATTAAATCTGTATTTTTATCAAATTAACTCAAATATGACGAAACAATGATAAATCACTTCAAATTGATATCAGTCTTATCATTTTCTGTCATTTCAACAAAAAAATTCAACAAAATAAATAAAAATAGTTAATCTATCCATATTGAAATGTTAATATCAGTCCCATTTTCTTTATTTTCTTTATTTTTTGAAATTTTTGATGGCGTGACAGAAATGATAAAATAGTTAACGTCAACATTTTAATGAGGACAAAATAACATTACTATCACATTACGTTTGGGTTAATTTGGAAAAAAATAAAAGTTTGAGAGCAAAGAAGAATGTAATAAAATTTAAGGACTAAAATGATTAGATTGATAAAGTTAAAGAGTCGAAAAGATTATTCTACCTGTAAAAAAAACCCAACTCTCATATTAGGTTTCAATGCAATTCTTTACATATTTACATGTAAAAGGGGATGAAAAATAATTAGGGAAGTATGGATCATAGGAAATTGTTTAAGAAAATAAGATGAATGCTACAATAAGCGGTAAAATCATTGGCAATTTTTGACTACTTTGCTCTATTTTTTTTTTTCCAATTTTGGGACGGAATTGTAAGGACATGAAAGAATAGGAACTAAAATAAAAAATGTTCAAAAATTACCCCTTCAAGTAAAAAGTGAGTTTAAGGAATTGAATTATGTTGTTTGAACTATAATTATATTGTAAAATTAATCCTTAAACTCACCCTTTCACTTTAAAGGTATAAAAATTCTCATTTTAATTCCTATATTTTCATTTCTTTATAATTTAGCTCTGAAATTACAAATAAGATTAAAACAAAATATTAGATAACTACCGACAACTTTATTAAAGTCATCCTCAACTGTTGATGACTTTACCATTTACTGTAACATTCACCGTATTTCTCTAAATAATTTTCTATGATCCATATTTTCGTATTATTTTTTTCATCCACTATAATTTAGCTAACACTAATTGAATGATTAATAAATTTATACATGAACCCAAATATATAGATCCTATCGGATAATGTACACATGCACTTACTTGGATTGCTTCTTTGGACTATTTGAGTTGAGATAAAAAGCTATGGTCATCATGATTAGCTGCTTGAATATATAAACATCTCAAATCTCCCATAGTCATAACCTAAAGTTAGATAGGCAATGTCATCATCCCCTCTAACCAAAGTTTTGATATTATAAATTGGATGGATTCGTGTTTGATGTGGGGTAGCTTTCTTTACTTATGCACCATCCATTCCTAAAGTTATCTTGCCTGGCCATGCTTCTTTACTCGGTCCTATCCCATCTTACCCTTATGCCTTTTTATTTGAAGGTCCCTGTTGTATGGTGTAGATTAAACACAGGGTCCTTTTTTAAAGAAAAAATAATAATAATGTTGCTGTAAAGATAAAGAATAGTTAGCTGTGTAGATATTGTAAGGACTTTAGTCCAATATTGTTGAGATCAGGGACATACATATAATTTTATATTAGTGAACAAATTTATAAAATTTAAAAAAAAAAAAAAAATGTGATAATTGACTAATTGAAGGAGCAAAAGCCCCACAGAGAACAGACATTGTACCTTTTATGGAAGACAGTGGAAGGAAATTAGACCCTCAACTGTCTCCTCATGTTATCAGTTGGCTCATAGCCAAGTGTCGTAATCGTTTTTCGTTCGGGCACAAATTTTTTTTTGGCGGGAAAAGTGATGTGAATAAATTAATGATTTTGATTTTTTAAAAAATATTTTGGGAGTCGCCATCGGTCTTTTGGGTCAGGTAGGTCGAATACCTAAAAATCATCTTTTAAAAGAGCTTTTAAGAAAATATCGATTAAAAGATAAATTGATCTGCGTTTTAACCAAAAATTCATAATAAAAAGGGATTCGTGGTCGGTTACGTTTAGGGAAGGATTAACACCCCTACAACGCCCAAAATTGGTACTTTTTAATTATAAATTGTCTCTATTATTAAAAATTTAAAATATATTTAATTTATAATCCTATTTAATTCAAATATTTTTAAGAAAATATATCAAACATAAATAAGATATTTACTTATTTAGAAATATCAGAAAATGACTTCTAGGTGTCTTAAGACAGCTCTTTTCTTCGATATTAATAGATATTATAATAATAAAATTAAATTATAATTTTTTTATCATAATATTTAATTTTAAAATACCAGAATAGGACATCCAGTTGTATTAAGACTGCCCTTTTCTTTGGTATTGAAAAATAAATAAATATTAAAATATGATAAAAACATAATTTATGTAAAATCAAATTAATATTTAATATACATTATTATTTATTATATATATTTATATGACTATATAATAATAAAAATATTTAAATATAAACAAGTAAAATTAAAACATAAATAAACAATAATAAAAATAAAATTAGAACTATATATTTAAAAGCAGTAAAACTTTATAATAAATGAAAATATTTAAAATTAGTGACTAAATTATAATCTAATAAAATTAAATACCTAATTCGTAATTAATTATTTAAAATTACAGGGATTAAACATGTTATTCTCCTTATTTATTAATTTGGTAACTAAAATAAAATTATATAAAATTCATATATCAAATTAAAATAAATTGAAATATGCTGTTAGGGGTTTAAAATATCAATTATTAAAATTAAAGGACTAAATATGATATTTATCCTAAATATATTATTTTAATATAAAAGACTAAAATAAATAAAATTAAAGTTAAAGAACCGAATTAAAAGGATTATAAATTGATTTAGTGACTAAAATGTAAGGATTACAAATTAGGATGGCTGCGGAAAGGGTTTAACTTTTAGTTAATTACAGACAGACCCTCCCCAAAACGGCGTCGTTTGGGGAGGGCTATTTAAGTCCCATAATCGGCTAGCCCGAAGGGCCAGCTCTCATTTCTCCTCTTCACTCTCTCTCTCTTCTTTGAGAGAGTTTTAAGAACTCTCTCGCTTCTCTCTAAAACAGAGAGAAGCACCGGCCGGCAGCCGTTCATCGGTGTTAACCCCGCCGCCGGCCACCGCATCCGGTGGCCGGAAAAAAAATTTTACACCTAAATATAGATCGGACCATCCTATTGATGGTTCCGATGACCGTTTCCCTTAAAACATTCCCGATCGGAGCAAATCTACGAAAATACCTTCGGTTTTCGAAGGTTTTCGATGACGTATGAAGGCTCCGGTGATGTTGCAGCTTCCTCAGTAAGTATCTCTCCGTCTTCTCCTTGCTTATTTTGGTGTTTGTGGTTGCTGGTTTGCTCATTTTTTTTCTTGTTTTTTTTTTCTTTTTATCTCTCTGTTGGTTGACGTGGTTGCCTTCTCTCCGTTTTTTTTCTTTGCAGGTTTTCAATGGCTTTATAGCCATCACCGGTGTGGCTATCGAACCGGGTAAAAAAGTGGAGTCTGGTGAGTCACCGGACTTCCAGTGGTGACTCACCGTTGGGGCGACATGTGTGTGGCTTGAGTGGCTCTTCTGGAAGCTTTTGACGAGACGTGGCAGCGGTGGAGATGGTGGGAGTAGCTGCGGCGGCCGCGTGGCCCTAGGGTATCATCACCCTAGGGTTTGTGCTGGATGAGTGTGGGCCGTTAGATCTCTCAGATCCAACGGCTGAGATTGAGGCGGCTGGAGCATGGGGCTAGGGTTAGAAAACCCTAGCTGAAACCCTAAACGTTTTAGGGTT